TAGCCTGAGTTTTTCTTCTAACACAGCATTCATAATTCGCATTGATGTCATAGTCATGAGAGAAACGGAGGCATTTCTTTATTTTCTTTCCTTTTTCAGGACAGTAGTGGATGGCATGATGGAGCAGCGGCTCTTACCTGACCTCCTGACAGCAGAGTTGATGCTGCTTACCTCCAGGGAGAGTGGCAAGGCAGCAGGAAGGGCAGTGTGGTGCAGATGCACCAGCAGAGTTAAATCTGGAGCTCTTGCCACTATGATTTCTCCGCACTGCCCTCCCCGTTGCTTTGCCCCTCTCCCTCTCAGTAAACAGAAGTGACTCGGATTTCAGGAGGTCAAGTAAGAACTGCCATCCCACCCTATCCCACTGTCCCCCACTGTTTCAGGATGTATGCATTAACTTTTGAAAGGAGAAATGTGAAAGAGGGGTTGTTTTTCAAACAAATATGGCATTGGGTTAATTTTTAAATCAACATGAAATGACACATTTGATTGGGACAGGAACCACACAATTCATTCATTTCAGCATTTAAAAAAAAAAAATTAGGTAGAACTCCCGCATATAAGAATATGCTTGCATAACTTGAGAGGTGACATTTTATATTCTAAGATGCGTTTGGTTTTAATCTCCACCCACCGCAGAAATCTCCATGTCGTTGCTGTTGGACCCACACCAGTAGCAAAATGCGCTTGAGGATTTTCGAACGCTGCCTGTATGTGCACACAGTCTAATGCCTTTTTTTTTAACCTGCTTTTTGCTTTATCATACTGTACTCCAGAGTAAACCGTGTTCTGCACTGACATGCAGTTGGCATAATTTAGCACATTTGTTTTCCTTGTAGTTAGTAAACAATGCAAGAAAACTTTTGTCGCTGCCAAAGTTTGCCTAATACTGTATTTGCGATTGGCATCCGTTCCTAGCTACCGATGAGCTTATGAAATGGATTGTTTTCTTCAGACCAATAAAGCACTCCACCCCATATCACTGATGGGTGGCTATGGAGCTGCTTGTTCTGCAGAAGCATGCTCATAGGGCAGGGCTGTTTACAGGTCACGTCCAGATGTGCAGCAATACATGCCATTGCATGCATTACCTCGTATGGGTCCCTATGCCTGTGAATGATTTGGGTGCAATAAACTGTTCATCTACGTGCACAGCAGCTTATGAATGATCCTGCACCTTCCCTGACCACTATACGTTCCGTCAAGTTTCCTTCTCTACACAGCCCTGGACACATTTTTTTTGTGTGTGGCCTCCTCTGTTGTTGCTAGAGATGACAGCTGAAGAAAATCAGCACAGAAGTCTGCATGCTGAAAAACCTTTTCATCTGGGCACGAAGTGATAGAAGATTGCCTTTCCTTCCAGAACAGGAAGCAGCGCCAGTCAGAGCAGAGGGGAAACCGCGTGGTTGCAAGTCGTCCTGCAGCCAACCCCGTGTTGGTTTTCTTCCTCTTTGGTTTTTCCATCTCTGTTGGGGGGTGGGGTTCCCCCACCCACTTTGTATGTGGCTTTTAAAAAACAACAAGGCAAAAGATTTTTGGTAGTTCCTCAAACTTTGATGCTTCCCCACGCAAACTGTTACTTCCCTCTTGTTTCTGAGTAACCGTATTTCAGCTCTGTTGATGTTAGCACAGTACCGGGTGGCGGGGGGGGGGGGTCACTGAGTTTGCTATTAGAGGGAGTGAAGCCTTTATCTGTAAATGAGGGTGGCATAGACATCAGATAAATAAGTCCATAAAAGGTGAAAGAAATTGTGTGTGAGAGGATGGGCGGGTGTGGGAGAAAGTGAGAGAGAGAGGGAGAAGGAGAGAGAGAAAGAGAGAGAGAGAGAGAGAGAGAGAGAGAGAGAAGAGTGGCCATTACAACCTCTTAGGTTGTGTGCAGTCTGTATTTATTAACAGATTGCAGGGCTTTCTACTCCATTACGTTATTACCCTTGAAATTGAACTGCATTTATAACAAATATGAAATATGTATTTTTAACACTAAAATGTAATTTTCCAACATAATACCCAAAATAAAATGCCAAGAAGCTATTAGCAGCAAATTGAATTTTTGCGGTATGTAATTTAGCATAAATAGTGACAAGTGTTTCACCTCCCTCTTCTCCCCTGCACCCCCCCACCCCCACCTTAAAAATGATCCCATTAGTCATTCAGTTTAGAAGCACAGAGGCAGCAGTCGGCAAGGGTGTGCATTTTTATGTCTGCTTCAATTGCACACTTCATTTATTTGAACATGGCATAGGCGGCTTTCCCTGTCACGCAGCATCACTAGGCGATTAGCAAGTTTCGCCCTAGGGCAGCTGGGACGCTTTGCTGGGGCAGATGTTCTTTTCAGCTTATTCACTGGCCGTTCTTGGTTGTTTACCGTTGTCATGGCTACCCCTATTTCCACAGCAGCCGTGCGGCCTCCTCTTGGAGGCAAGTGAATATAGTTATAAAAGGATCATATTTTGCTCTGTGTCCCTTACTTGCCATCTGTCAACCAACTGCGCATGATGGATTCAGAAACCGATTAGGGATAACGGCAGACAAGTGATGATCCTTCTATTAAAAGTAACAGTGGTCCTGATGCAAATGGCTTTATGGTGTCTTTGTGAGGTTTGCCCCCCCCCCCCAATACATGGTTCTCAAGCTCCCTATATAGGCACAGAATTTTAATTCTTACTTGCTGGGGCACGGGGGTAGGGCATGTATGATGTCCTATTGTTGTGTTTGTGTACACCCTACGTACTAAGACTTAGACTGTCCAGTCTGCTCTTTTAGCTCACACACTTACTACAGCTTTATGATCTGATACATATCGGTAGGGATTTCTCCTCAGGAATAGCACTTACACACAGTGTTCAAAACTCTCATTGTTCTAGGCGCATTTTGTGACAGGGAATTTCATTAGCGCAAGCAGTTTCTGAGCTCTGTGCACACAGTACTGCGCCTAAGATTTCAGATTAAAACTGCAGAGTGGAAGGAAAGGATGACCTTTTTCTGCCTCCCCACTTCCAGCTACTCTGAAGACTGGAGAAGAGACCCTCTTAAGAATATTAGGGGGTGGGCAGGGGAAGGACTAGACCATGTGAAAAATGAACACAATAACTTAGCTGCAGTTCATTCATTTTCAGCTTTGTATTCTTGTTATAAAAGAACCACACCTAGATATTCCGTTGTTGCGCCCATAACCTAGGTTTAAGGTGCCATTTAGCTCCTAGCTTTCATATCTCAGTTTCTAACACTGCTTTCACACTGAGTAATTGCCATAGAGCTCAATGAAACTCTTGTAACTAGTATTCCAGGCAAAAGGGAGGGTTGAGTGGAGCTGTGGAAAGCACACAGAGACTTCTCAGTTCCTGAATGGACTGCATGACTCAGAGCTGTGAAATAAGGAAATGGGGGTCAGATGAACCCTATAATAATACCTCTGCATGCAAACACTGCGACTTTGGGGGACTGGAGCGCACCCTGAGTTTCACAGAAATCTCCATCACAACTCTGAAAGGAATTCATACACACAGAGAAAGAATCTTGTGGTACATATTTAATCTTTTGAAGGTGCCACAATACTCCTCCTGTGTTTGCATGTAATGCAAAAAAGATGTTTGGACCACATGTGCCATCACCCCGATTGTTGGCCATGTTATCTGGAAAGGATATGATTTGGACTCCAGTGATGACACAAGGATGTTGGAGGGTCCTTAATAAGCTAATATATGCATGAATTGTGTGAACCCTCAGATTGGACCTTTCCTGCCGCTTTGCTCCTCTCTTCACAAACCAGGATTCAGCACTTGGCCATAGCCTCCTGTTTCACGACACACTTGAGACTATGATTAGCTACTTCAAAACAAGCCGGGATATCAAGCCATGGTTTAATTGACTTAATATCCTGGCTTGCTTGGAATCCGCTAACTGTAGTTTCTGGGTGCACATGTAATGGGAAACAATGGTTTAGTGCTGAAACCTGGTTTCTTCCTGCCACTTAAATGCAGAGAGGAGCAAAGCAACAGGAAAGGAGCTGTGTTGAGAGTACCGTATTTTTTGCACCTGACCGTAAGACGCACCTACGTAGTGGCTGGATTCCTCTGGAGTAAATAAGGGGACGTGTGTTCGGGTGCTGCTCTGCTCCGCTTTGGAGCGTTAAAGAGACGCATCTTAGAGGCTGCCAAAAGTGCCCTGCAGGGGGCTTCGGCCACATTGGAGGGTAGCCGGTGCCCCCTTCTTACCCACGGCGGGGAACCCTCAGCCCCGCCGGCACTCGCCCTGGCACATCCGCCCTCCTTCTCCTCTCCGAGCAGCTGCTCTCCGCTGCAAAGGCAGCCGAGACACCTGCAGGCGGCTGGCTGGGAAGTGTGTCCATGCGGGAAATCCACCTGATTGACAGAGGCGATGCTGCTGCCGCCGCCGCCACTTCTACTGCACAGCCCAGCCTGGCCTGGCTCCGGGGAGGCAGTGGTGGCGCAGCAGCGGTCCAACAGGAGGGTTTTTCCCTGGCACCCCTGAACCCCAGCAGCCTCCTCTCTGCAGCTTTCCCTGCTCTGTGCCGCACAATCGGCTTTTCGCCCCTGCACTCGGGCGATTCATCTCCAGGAACCACACATTCGATCCATAAGACGCACAGACATTTCCCCTTACTTTTTAGGAGGAAAAAAGTGTGTCTTATGGAGCGAAAAATACGGTACCTCCCCTTTGTGCATACCCTAGTTCAATAAACCAAGGTTTTTGGTTTAGTGTTATCTGAGAACGCAATAACGGCATGGCTATCCCAGCAGGAAAATGCAGAAAGGTGGCCAATTCTGTAGCATTGGGACCACATATAATAATAAATAATACACAAACTTTTTATAAATGCTAGGAACTTTCTTTTCCCAGTTATATATATATTGGCAAATTTAATCTTACTTTTTGGTAACACTCGTCACTGTGGAGATTCCGTTCATTCTTTAAATTAGTGGGAGTGGAAATTGGTCCACTTGTAAATTAATGTATTTATTGGTTGATTTTTCCAGATCCTGACATTGATGCTGCCACTGCCATGATGCTTTTGAATACTCCCCCTGAGATACAAGCAGGTTGTGAGTAGATATTTCTATAGCCTATAGCACCATAGATATGTAAGCCTAACCTTCTCTTTCACAAAGCACACAGACTAGCAGGCTTAAAAATAATCATTAAAAAAAAAAGTTTCTGATTGAGAAACAATATTTCTCAGTTAGACCCTTGCAAATTCTCTACTTAGTATAATTTTGTGGGGTGGTTCCTGTGTGTAAAATTCTATGTCTAATGAGCGACAACAATTGTGTACCTCCGATTCCCATGACTAGTGGCATGTATTAGATGTATACAATTGTCAGTCGTAATGAAGCATAGCAGCCTGATAAGTATTTTCCTTCTACAGCACAGGTAAGACAGTCACACCTAGGGCCACCACTAGAAAATTATGTTCTGCTTTCTGTTTCCACTTTTTGGGGTGCCTTTGAGAAACTTGAAGAAAGGAAGAATTAAAATTATATTCACTCTTTAATTTGAATGTTAAACTTGCATGGCTGAATCAGATCCGTTTATAAAAAAAGATCAGAAAGGTGGCTTTGTCAAAGGAGCACTTGAACAGGATTTCCCCACTTCAGAGTTTTCCTAGTCCAGGTATTCACTCTTCTTTTGAAAAACCCATTTCTGCACTAGAGAGCTCTTAACCAGATTATAAAACTTACGACATCAGAACTTTAAGAATATATACCAGTTCAGACAATATATTTTGTTTTACATGCAAACCGTCCCAAAGCCTAATAGCTCCAGGTACATGCGGACAAATGAAATGGGAACCAGATCATTACAAAACAGAGCCAGTGGAAATTCCTGTGATGGTGGTGGCTAGAATAATTGTCTCTTATGGGATTCTCTGCCTGCCATGTGCCTGGTTACCAGGTTCACACATTGCATTGGTTCACATGAGCATGTGCTCAGGAAGTGCCAGGATTGTTGCTTGTAGGAGAAAATGGACTGTGTAAAACAGCATATAAATATTCCTTCTCTAAACAGAATAAACTGAGGACAGTTCCTTGTTACCACGTGGAATAAGTCCTTGATGAGTCTTGGGCAACAATCCTGTTGTTGCTGTTGTTTTTACTGGAACTGCTTTTCCAATATCTACAGTGGTACCTCGGGTTAAGAACTTATTTCGTTCTGGAGGTCCGTTCTTAACCTGAAACTGTTCTTAACCTGAAGTACCACTTTAGCTAATGGGGCCTTCCGCTGCCGCGCGATTTCTGTTCTCATCCTGAAGTAAAGTTCTTAACCCGAGGTACTATTTCTGGGTTAGCGGAGTCTGTAAACTGAAGCGTCTGTAACCCAAGGTACCACTGTAAAGGTGGCCTGTAAAATTAAGATGTACTATGTCAATAATTCCTAAATCTGTCCCCTAACCAGAGAAGGCATCACAATATGGCATCTGCTGAGGGGCCATTGCTGCTGATGGTGCTCCAGTCACTGCTAGGCAGCCACCTTTGCTTGTAGTTGTCCGCAGTGGCCCCAGAGCTAGACTCTGTGACATTGCGGCAATTGCAGTAATGGGCACCCACATCAGAGGAGTGCCACTACTACTGTCTCTGCTCTTCTTTAGTAAGCCACCCACCCACCTGTTCTGCAGAGATAAATAGAATAAACAGGAGGACAGGGGGTCATCAGCTGGCATGGGGCAGGGATGTTGGCACATTAGGGAAGCCTCCTGAGGGGGCTTCCTCAAGCCTGACCCTGAACCTTTTTATTTCTATTTTATTTGCTAGAAAGCGTTTATAATAGCTTGGAATCAATTGTTCTGTTTCTGAAGCTTACTACTACATACAGAGCTTCATTCACCAGTTGACTAAGCCTGGGGGGGGGGAATGGCTGGGATCCAATGGTGCGCTAGCGGAAGAGGGGGAGAGGAGCCCTTGATTTCTGCCGATTTCGCTCTCTCCCCACCACCGTTCCAGCTACAGTCCTGTGAACCAAATCCAGGCCATTTCTCAGGGTTCCTCGCCCTCGGGATCAGCATTTGGGTCAAGTGAGAGTTTCTAGTGTGGATAGAGAGACTAGACCCCTCCCTCCAAATTCCACAAGCCGAACACCCTTTGCAGTAGTTGGGACCCAAATCTATTTTACCTCGTTTATCCTGCTTTTAGATTCTAAGCAAATTTCCAAAGCGGCAAACAGTAAGTATCCGTAAAGCACAAACTAAGTTTAGGATATATCGTGGTGTGAAATCAAGCACAGCAACATCATCAGACAACAACATCATCAACAACAATAAAAGTAATAAGCGTCAAACAAAAACGTAAATAAAACAGTCTTCGCAAAAGTTTTCCAGAGTTAACACAATGTTTAGTTTGGCCTTTTGAAGCTCGGGAAAAGAAAACAGTCTTAATCAGATGCCTAATGCAGCACAGAGAAGACAGCTAGGGCTCTCTGGGGAGCACATTCCATATACAGACTGTGCCACCTTTCTCTGGTCACTAAATTCCTCGCAGGGCAGCAAGAGAAGGGCTTCTGGGGCAGATCTTAATGCCTGGGCAGGTTCATACAGGGATGAACAGTCTTGGGTCCCAACCATTGCGCTTTGAATGGTCCTTGGAAACAGTCAGGACGCCAGAGAAGCTGTTTCAAGACTGTGCAAACATAGGAGCACAACAAGTGCATTGTTAAAGGGGAAAGGATATGTTGCTCTTTTTCCCTCCTGGCACTGTTCCTTCCTCCCCACTAAAAGTGTGCACATTTTTATATTTTTCTTCTATCAGTATTTCCGGGGGGGGGGGGGGCGCGTGTGTGTACTTCCAACCATGTATGATAGTTTCCAGATAAAAAAGTGTGCAAGAACTGAGTGAGCTGACCTGATATTTGATTTTATTTTATTACTATACAGATTACACCACAGCACATTTGACCATCGTCTTTTGCACACAGTGGATATAAAGTGCTAAGATAAAAAGATGGCTGTCTTTTCCATCCTCATAGCTATATTTGTATTGGGATTTCTAAGCTCAGTTGGAGATACAGAATGGTAGTTAACTCTCCAAAGCAAGCCTATGCCTTTTCTCATTTAAACTGTCTGACGTGGTTCAGAATTTGCACCCTGTTTTGTCACTGAAGAGTCACTTCTGGAAACTCCAAGCAACGCCCAAAATGTGGCATGCTTTCTGTAATTGTGCAAAGCAAACCATAGTTGCAAATCACTGTGTGATTCCTAAGGCTTTGTAGAGGGGATAGTTACAATGAACGAGTCTTGTTGTTCATTGTTATCTTTAGTACTGTACCATCAGTGCATGTGGTGCTTTGCAGAGTGGTATAAGGATCCTGTCTCCTTACCTGGCTGGCTGATTGAGCATAAAGTGTCAGGCTGAACACATCACGACTGTGCTGCTGATTATTTCGTGGTTTGGATGACAGGAATAAGATTAGAGAGAGAGGCCATGAACTCAAAAAAAAACCTGGCCTGTGAAGTGAAGTCAGGGTTTTGGAGAAAAACATGCAGAAAGAAGAGTAACATTATATTGATCCCTGGTCAGCAAGTTATTTTCTGCAGGGCTGTTTTGAAATGGAAATGTTGTGATAGCCTGTACCCCTACCCCACAAGCACTATGTAGGGTCATCCTATTGTCACGACTGGCACTCCTTCCTCATGTGCTTTTTGGTGGGAAACTAGGTATGGTGGGGGGGGGGTGACATTCTTCTTGACATCTGGATTTGGCCTAACTGCCCACTTGTAGAGTTGTGGTTCCAACGCAGAGGGCAACAACAGAAGAGAATGGATGGTCATAGGGGACTTGTGACTGCCAAGGATGGAAGCAGTGTGACATAGTTATGTAATCAGCAAGAGGGAGATTTTGTAGTACTAGACCAGCCTTCCCCAATGCAGTGCCATCCAGATGTTATAGACTACATCACCCCCAACCAGCATGGTCAGTTGTTGGGGATGATAGGAGCTGTAGTCCAACAATATCTGGAGGGCACCAAGTTTGCTAGGTGAGAGCTTCTATAGAACTCTATGCTAACATGGTTAATGGGTATCACTAAGCATAGGGCGGGAGCACCCATGGAGGTATTCATTTAATTCTCATTGTATCTTTAAGGGAATACCTTGATACCACTTCCGTGTGTTTCATACCCTTGATTTCTGTTACTGGAGCAATTTATTCATGTTAAAAGACATTTTTTATCTTACTGGTCCCAAGACACTAGGGTCTTCTGCGCTGACTATTTCATCTTTCTCTGAGAGAAAGGAGTCATTTTTCAGAAAATGGCTGGGACTTGGTCCGGGCCTTTATAGAGGCAGGCTGACAATGGTTAAGTGGTTGGAGATGCAGGGGTCACAAACAGGGCTATGCAGGGAAGTAAGGACAGACAAACAGGTGTGGAAGACCACAGACATCTTTTAATGGACCCCTCCTACATCAGTGCCCCTGTCTTGGTGGACTTCCCTACTGAGGCAAGCAGAGCTACTCTTGTTTCATGCAGAATATCGACATGAACATTTGCACTAGAATAACAGCCCCCAGACCTCTTTTTATCTTCAGAGTTGTTTATACATTCCAGGTGTAAAACAGTGGGTGAAATGGCTGAACTTTCCCTGGCAAGTTCAGTGTTCTTACCCATCTCTTTTGTTTCATTGTGATAGCCACATGAAACTGCCATCATAGATGAGGGAAGTCAGTGGTTCCATTGGGCTGGGCTGGGCTGGAGGGATAATGACCAAAGTACATGACTGGAGTCCTCTAGATAGATTATTGTCACTAGATAATAATTCTTTAGATCTGTAGATTCTGTAGATAAAATATATCTAGTTAATTATATTTTAGAATTACTCACTTTAGAGTTATTAAAATCCTATTGGCTCAGTTGAATGCCATTATTTATATTTATAAAATGTTTAAGTTAAAGGGAACCACCTAATCTCTACCACGCATACACAGCCTTACTACGCATGTGCAGTGGGGCTTATCTTCCAAGCAACTTCCATATATAGTACATGGCAAACCACTTTTTGAGAGCAGGGAAACTTAAAAGGGTGAATGGAGGACCCCACTGTTCAGAGGTGTAAAAACACCTGCTAGAGATGTTTGAGGAGTTTGCTTTCTGTGAATTCCGATGGGAAATCGTTTGATATGCACCTGCCAGACAAATGTGTGGGACGGGAAATGAGAAATTTATCCTTCAGGTTTTCACTACCCTGAATTTTGCAATGGCGCAATTTCCAGTTTTGAAAATGCACCCAAGCAAAACATGTGTTTTAGAACATGCATTTAGAATTGCGTACGTTGAGTAATATTTGAAGATCATTTTCGTGCAGAGTAATGTGAAAATGGGGATGGAACTGTACGAATGTACACATGTGGAATTGACGTGTACTGACAAATTGATGAATCCATCCTTAGCTGGTGTACACTTATCTCTTCCTGCCTCTCTCTGGATGATGGTTCTAATAATCAGCGACACTGCTAACTGCATAGGCATAGGTTGTCCATGCCACTTGTTCTTTATCCACTGTGTGGAGCTGCTAGCTCGTGCATTGAGATCTGCCAAATCTTAAATGGCATGGAAAGCACTACTAAAAGGCAAAAACATTTTTAACACAAATTTTCATTTTGATTTGTAACGTACCCTGCACAAATTGCTGAGAGCTTCAAAGAACTTCAGGCATTTAAATAAAAAAATCCTGACCTAGCAGCCCATAGTGTACCACAAAGAAGAGTAGAACGGAAAAGGGAAGACATAAACAAATATAAAATGTAGACATATGATACAGATTTGCAGACATGTTGCTGACACAGAGGTTCTTAAGCGGCTGCTGACAATGTTGCTAATAAAAAAATAAAAAATGATTCTCCAAGGATTAGGTTTGAGGAGGGATTTAATGAGGCGAGTGTGCAAAAGAAAGCTGAGGCAAGAGACCAGATAAAAGTAAATAGAGTTTGGAGAGGAAGCAGTAATAGTGAGCATGGGGGCCAGCCTCTTATGGCCGATGTCCCCAAATGGGGCAACAGGGACCATTAGGAACTTGAAGGGCATTTCCCAGGTTGAGACAACACAGGCTAGGGCAGGTGAGTCATTTGATGGTTTCTTTCATTCATTTTCCTAAATTGGTATCTCACATTATCCTTGCCATGCTTAAGGTGGATTGTAAAAAATCCTTTCCTGGGCTGCAGCAGATGTACAGCTCCTTATGGCTTTACCCCAGTTAGCTATAGTGTGTTAAACGTGTTAGCTATAGTGTGTTAGCTATAGTGTGTTAGCCAGTTAGCTATAGTGTGTTAAACCCCAGTTAGCTATAGTGTGTTATACAATTAAACGTGGCTAAGCAACCAGGAGCAGGCAACAGGATCTCCTGCAGCACAAATTCCAATTAGTAAAAGGTAAAAAAGGTAAAGGACCCCTGGACGGTTAAGTCCAGTCAAAGGCGACCATGGGGTTGCGGCGCTCATCTCGCTTTCAGGCCAAGGGAGCCGGCGTTTGTCCTCAGACAGCTTTGTGGCCAGCATGACTAAGCCACTTCTGGCACAATGGAACACTATTGACGGAAACCAGAGCGCACGGAAACGCCGTTTACCTTCCCGCCGCAGTGGTACCTATTTATTTACTTGCACTGGCGTGCTTTCGAACTACTAGGTTGGCAGGAGCTGGGACAGGGCAACTGGAGTTCACTCCGTTATGGGGATTCGAACCGCCGGCCTTCCGATCGGCAAACCCAAGAGGCTCAATGGTTTAGACCACAACGCCATCCCTGTTCAATTAGTAGCGGTATGTGCATGTAGGGCAGAGCTGCCCTCCTGACACCATCAGGGCTGCTTATCAGGGTGTGATCACCTGGCACTTCCATCACATGGCCCTTATCTCGCCCCATCCCAGTTCAGGTTTGCAGCAAAAATGCTGGTGTCAGGAGGGTGACTCTACTCCACCCCACTACATCCCCTACTACAGATATGAGAAGTACCACAAAAAAGTCGCAGTTTCAATCTCCAGCACCTGCAATTAAAATAATATTCGGTAGCAGGACTAAGGGAAGACTCCTGTGCCTACTACCTCTGTGCAGGAGGCCAGGAGTTGCTGCTAGTCGGAGTAGATTTGTAGTGGGCTGGGTAGACCAAAGGTCTGGCTTCTGCGTCTCAGGTTCCAGCAGCGCTGATGTTGACTTGCTTAATGCAAGATCCGAAATAGTGGCTTCAAGTTGATTTCAGATTCTGGGCAAAGTGGGAAATCTATTTAGCTTTAACCGTTCTTATAGTCGGTGCTGATGTGGTTAGACTTGTGCCTCTGAACGGAGGAGGTGGTGGGCGAAGGAAGTTTGCAATCCCGCAGCCTGATTAGGAACATTACATCTGCGCCTGCATAAAGCAAATGTCATTGGTGCAAAAGTGGCACACAGTTCAGCCGCCGCCTTGGGCATTTGATGTCCATTTCAATTTGAGTGCCATGAAGCCTGAGCATTGGGAGGCAACGTTTTCCCATGGAACAAAGACGTTTCTATTGAACACTCTTGAATAGATGTATAGGGCCTCTTTTGAGCTAACTTCAGTTTCCTCCAAATGATCCCCCTTGTTGTGTGATGGGTACCCTTACACTGTGGAACATCTGCTGGAAATATGAGCAAAAGCCTAATTGTTTTAATGGGCTCGGAGTGACATTTCCTTAGGACAAAAAAGGAAGGGGGAAAAAGATTATTTTGCAGGAAAATGTGCAATTTTCTGTCATTTGATGGGTGCAACAAGAGTTAAGGCGTGTAAAATTAAATCTGTCACTCCTGGCAATCCTTTGCTTATAGTGTATGCTAGCGGCTCATGCAATTAATGGGTGCCTTATGTACAGTGGTACCTCGGGTTAAGTACTTAATTCATTCCGGAGGTCTGTTCTTAACCTCAAACTGTTCTTAACCTGAAGCACCACTTTAGCTAATGGGGCCTCCTGCTGCTGCCGCACCGTCGGAGCACGATTTCTGTTCTCATCCTGAAGCAAAGTTCTTAACCTGAAGCACTATTTCTGGGTTAGCGGAGTCTGTAACCTGAAGCGTATGTAACCCGAGGTACCACTGTATTCTTTTCCCTTCATCCAATATTAAATGCTGGCAATAGAAACTAGAAGGTGGATTCTGATGGTGCAATTAGATGTTACAGGGCACGGGTGAGGAACTTTTGGCCCGCCAGATTGTGTTGGACTTCAGCTGCCACCAGCCCCAGCCAGCATGGCCAGTAGTAAGGGATGATGGGAGCTGGAGTACAGCAACATCTGGAGAGCTACGTCACTAGGGAAGAGGAGGTTGGCAGCAGTCATGTGCCCCCATAACATCTGGCTAGATCCCATGACCAAAATTTATTAGAAGACACTATATATTGTTGTTCTACCTGCTTGTATTGTGGTTAAAAATGGGGTGGGGGTGGGAGATTGGACCACAATCAAGAAACTGGATTCCACAGAGATGCATGATTACTTTTTCTTTCATAGAATCTCTTATGTTTTTAAGGTGGGCATTACTTTAAATAGGATTTCTAATGAATATGTTGGTGGGCTGACTGTTTTGTGGCGAATTTTTCTGCTGTTTTATCCGTTTTGGCTATTTTCCTTGTTGTAACAGTTATAGAATATCAGTTTGAGGTGTGTGTGTACTTATCTTGTAAGCATCCTTGAGCACCCTTTTGGGAGCCGAAAGACAAGGTAAAAATAAATAAACATTATGCGAAACCTTGCCTTCATTTTAATGTGAGTAGGGAGTTGCTTTGAGCTAAACAGGTGTCTGAAACACAAGCACATAGTTTTACAAGGGAAATGGGGGAGAAGTGGGAGCATATAAATGAATTGCCTCAGTTTTGCTGATTCTTTCTAAGCACAGCTCACTTCATTTTCACTCAACTAACGTTTAAGGTTGCCTCTTTCAGATCTTTAGTCAAATTGTGTCCGTTTCTTGAGGGGTGGGGTTATGTTGGGGTAGTTTGTTAATGTATTTTTAGAAGCTAAGAAAAAGGAAAAAACAAGCAGTTTATTCGAGAAAGTGCCTCTCTGTTTCTTGAGTAATCATGGTGAGGATTTTGATGTCACCCTTAAGATTGCTCACCTTTGGAAGGAGTTTCCTTTGGTGTTGTATATGTGTTTACTTCTCACAAGTAAAATATGTGAGATCCTGTTATCTTGAGAGGCCATGGATTGAACTTGGGACCTTACAAAGATACATCCTATTCTCTGACACTGGGCAGAAGATGCACCAGGGTCAACTGGTAAATCTCTTGAGTGGTTTGGCATACATCGGCAAGAGTTTTTGTTTCCCACTTGTTTAACAAAACATTCCCCCCACACCTAAATAAGACTGCTGAAATGAAGAAAGCTAAGTAGGAATGACCTTTATGTGTGAAGGGACTGTGGGCTCAGTTCAGTTCTGGTACAAAAAAAGAAAAAATCCCTGGGTTCAGAATATTCTTGGAGCGTAATTCTGTGTATCATTTGTGTGTGGCTCTAGCTGGTCGATCTTCAGGTTCTAGTAAGAAAACAGAGTTGATCTGGCAAGCATTAAGTCTTTCCACTCTTATTCCACCTGCACATGTTGATTTCTCCCAATAATTCAGTTGCTGGAGTGAGATTTGATCAGAGGAGCTCTCATGCTTTGTATTCTTGGTCGATACGTTGCCCTGACTGATCTATCACAACTTTCTGTGGCTACACTTGACTCATGAAATATCACATGCAACTCTTTCCTAAGTTGTTTTTATATATATATAAATTTATGAAGCAGCGATTCTTCTTTCCCCCTGCTCCAATGAAGCTTGATATTTTAATAAACATTTCAGTTTCACAACTGAGCTAATTTGTCCTCCTCTTTTTCTTGCAATTTGCCTCCAGTTCCTCCCGGAGTTATCCAAAATGGAGCTCGCATTCTGAGTAGAGGAATCTTCCCAGGAGTCAGGCCACTGCCAATAAACCCGATCGGAAGCATGGCTGCTGCAGTAAGGTAAGTACAGAATCAGTGGTGCAGCGGGAGATGGCAAAGAACCTTGAAAGGAGAACTCTTTGAGAGAGCGCTGCTGAACTTGCAACAGGTTTATTAGCAAGATCATTGACAGATATTCAGTGCAGCTTCTACACCACAATTTACTTCCTTTTGAAGCAAAATCTAGAGGTGTCCTTTCTCTGTGGCTCTGGCCACACTTTGCACATGAGTAATGCAGCTTTTCAGATTTGTACATTTACTAGACAAACAGATTTATCCAGCTTTTTACTCTGTTCTTATTTGTCAAAGGGTGGCTCTATCATACAATTCTCCCAGAAGCAATTGCCACATCAGGCAAAATATTAAATGCATATTTTTATTTTAGTACATTTTTACATATTTCACTGAATATTAAGACATGTCTTAGATTTGGGTCTTTCTTTTCTTTCTTTTCTGGTCTACTCTCACTATTTCAGTACCATCAGGGAATGCTTTGTCCTTGCCCCCCCCCCCAAAAAAATGCAACTGGTCAAATGCCCATAGTCTACTTGATCGCAAGATTATGTACAAATGACTACTTGTGTGCTCACAACATAAGAAAAATGCAGTATTTTAGCTAAGTATTTAGCCAACATGCTTAAGTACACTTTTTTTCTCTGTGTGTGTGTTTTGTTCATTACATCTCACAGTTGTAGCCTGTTTAAGCCATTTGTAGACTGTTCCCTTTTCAAACAGTAATTGAATGAATGAATTTCATTGTTTCCCAGTTTCTGTGCAAGCTCACTTGGCTGCTGGCCCTTGAGCCAATTAGTTAGTGATCTTTTGCAATCATTTCACCTTTGAGTGTCCAACCCAAGGTGTTGTGAATTGTTTGGATAATGTGCATTGTTCGAAAATACTAAAACCTAGGGCGAATTCGCCACTTGACATACGTAAAGATTAGCCATGGGAGATTATGTCATTATGCTGCTGTTGTCCTTTTGGCTTAAACCACATAAATAGATCTTTTGTTTCAGTCTAATCTGTAAATGGAAATTGACTATTTTTAGTGTGTTGAATCATCATTATTTAGCACTAAAGCTGCCCCAACAGAACATGGTTTTTTGACAGCAGCTCTTATTTCACTATATCCACACTTTTTCTGTTGCTTGTTGCTGCTATTATTGCTTCCTGTTTTTACTATTCTGTGTTGTTGTTTTTAGGAAGCAATCCCATACAAATTATAAAACATCATTATATTGTTCTGAAGAGCAATTCTTGACTAGTATGAATTGGTAGTCTGTGGTCAATTTTTTACAGGTGAATTGTCAGGTTGACAAGAGTGGTCTCTGAAATTTTCTTGTAATTACTCATTTTAAAATGTGCTCCTATCTGATGAAATTAAGCCACAAGAAAACATTTGCCAACAGCAAGGGTTATTCTATGCTCCCATTCATTACATTTGGAACTTACACATAATGCCTTCCCAGGGAAGAGTGTCCATGGCTCTGCCTTCCCCAACTTGGAGCCCTCAAGGTGTTTTAGATTACAGCTGCCATTAGCCCATGACTATGCTTGCTAGGGCTGATGGGAGTTGTAGTCCAAAGACTATGGGGGGGGCACCACATTAAGGAAGGCTGCCATAGACTGTATTGGGGAACTTTCATGTAATGGGATCTCTCTTATTAAATGGGACCAGATGTTTGTCATTGCCTCCATTGCTACTTTTTTGAGGTGGAGCAGTGATGAACAAAGTTAATGGGAACATGATAAAAGTGAATGGTTGAAGGATTTTTCACTGTGAGTGGAAGCTAGAAGCTTAATGACCAAGAGCCTGAACCAGGAATCCAGAAGTCCCTGGTTCAGATTTCATTTCTGCCTTAAACAAGCTGTTCTCTCTGTTCCACCCTGTGCATTATAATGTATAAAGGCCAAGATGGAGGTGTGAATGGAACCAGTGGTGGAGGAACCCTCTCTGGTACACGGGGCAGGATGCCAAGGAGCGGGGCGAACGGCCCATGGGCGCACAAGTGGCAGTCTGTACAGTTGCCGTGTGAGGGGCAGCCCATACGGACGGCATGTGAGCGGTGCCCATACTGACTGCATGCGCGCCCTCATCTGTTCTACAGCTGGTGGGAGGCAGCAGTCCATCTTGTCACACACACACACCCAGAGTGATACCTGGGGTGTGCCCCCTTTGTACGCCCCTGAATGGGGCATCTTTACAACCGTAATTGCCGGTTTTCTTCTTCTTCTTTTCCTTTTTGGTGGCAGGGGGGTGGATAGGAAGAGGCAGTTGCCAGGCCGGATTTTTTTCTAAGCCTAGCTGCTTCACTGGAAGGGATTTTAGCAGGGGTGGGGGGAGATGGCAGAGGGAAAATTGGTGCCAAGGTACCAGCTCTGGCACCACCCACTATTGGCCTTGGCTCCTCCCATGTCTCACATGCAGCCTTTGAGGGAATTCCTGAGGGATAAAAATGGTTACCTCCACCTGTCTCCCTCCCCACTTCAAATGTTTGGCATTCCTGCTCAGTGTTTAGACGTGTTCACATACACTACCTTGCATACAAGGAAAAATGAGAGCGTACACTCCAGCAATGTCTGGGGAAATAACTCTTTTCCACACCCTCATGCTGAGAAAAACATGCAGATTATGCTACCTGTTTTATTCTGCACTGTTGAACTGTGGTCAGCAATTAGTTTTTCATGAGAACCAGCTGGAGAAGGGTGGGTGGGTAATAAAGCAAAGGCCCAACTGTATTATTTTTACCACAGTTCTGCTCTTGGTTTGGTAAAAAGAGATCAATTTGGCTCTGGGACTTCATTTCCAGCTTCTGCTTTGAGGCCTGCCTTCTGTCATTATTTTATACCCATACCTATTTTGTACAAATTTGATCTTTTTTCATAAATAAACAAAATATATTTATTTGCCTTTTTTTTTTACATGCTTCCCCCCTCCCATGCCTTTTTAAGTGGCCATTTTGACACTTTGAGTAGCACCAAAGCAAAATTAACCATTGTAGCATGTAGTGTAGGTACCAGGCATACGCAGACCTGACCACATCTTCCCAAATGAGAAGCCAGCAAGTGTGTTTGCAAATAAATAAATCTGGACGATTTAAAGGGTTCCCCTTGTTCAATCCGAAAAACACTTTATACGTCGCAGAGCAGAGGTTGCTTTTGGGAATACAGGATTCTGGAAACATATGCTATGTTGATACCAATGCTCTCAGGGGTGAACTTCCCTCCGCATTGACAGTGCACACCTTTGCATTAATGCTACATCTGTTCTGATAATAGTCAAAGCCCCGTTTTATTAGCAGATCATTACACAGGCTGTGTTTGCAGTGGAGCTTTGCATATATAATTATGATGTGAAATCCCTCCTGTAAGTTTTCCTGCCAATAATACAACAGACTTAGCTGCATTGATTTGTACTCTTTGACCCACTGGGATGGGACCTGATTATGCCAGGGAATACTGCTTAGTGCTAATTTACTCCCTTAGAACCAGAAGTGCCTGAGAAAACATTTCTCCCGCTTTGAAATGGAAACTCTTCCACGTCGCTGCACAGAAGTGTGGGAAAATATGGAGTAGCGAAAGCTACTAACTTCCCAGATTCACCAGCGACTAAAAGCTGCAGTCTTCACAAAGATTATTCTCTGGAACAATTACATTACTTTACACTTTACACTATACTTTGCTCTTAACCAGAATCAATAGAGAGGGGCCACTGTGCACACACAGAGAGAGGTGTCAGAACTAAGTTTAGGCAGCTGTCAGAGGATAGCTTCAAACCAAGAACCAGGAGCTGAACCAAGAATTCAGAACCAAGATCCATCTAGAAATATACCAAGGAAAACCTTGCTGCTCAGGAAAATTCCCAGCCCATTTATAGCCCTTCTTGTCCAAAGCCCAAGGACAATTCACTGCCATGAAGATAAGCAATGCTGAAGCTTCGGTTGCTCACCACAAGTGGTTAGCTGCACACAGAAATGATGGTTCCTGGTTTACACCTTTGCGGCTCTTGACAAAAAGGCTTTTTCAAGACTAAGAAGAAGTTGCTACTTATTTAATTTATTACCCACCCTTCACTATCCCAGGACAGGTCGCAACCATTTTAAATTCAATATTCGAGCCAATTAAAAACAAATTAGCAGTCACTGGAGTTGGATGGGCCCTGAAAACATATATCCCATATGCCAAAAGCCAGGGTAATGAGGTCCATCTTGAGCATATGGTGGAAACTATACAATGAAGGTGCCCGGCACACCTCTGTGGAGAAGGAATTTCACAACCTAGGGGCTGCCACAGAGAATGCCCAGACAACCACCAGCCCCAAACTTCTGAAGATGGTGGAACTACCAAGAGGGGTCCCTCCACTGATCTTAATACCCTAGAGGCTCTGTAGGGAAAGGAGATAGGCCCCAAATATCTGAAACACGAAGTCCTCTAGGGCTTTGAACACTAAGGTGAGCACCTTCATTTAGACCCCAAAAAGAACTGGTAACCAATGCAGCTGTTCTAAAACAGAAGTTAAATGAATGCTAAAAGGAACCCCAGAAAAGTTGCCTTGGGGTTCAGGGACTAACAATGAATGGGTGCCAATTGCAAAAAAATATCAGGCAAGCCTAGAAATTCTGAAGTGTTTAGTTTTGTTTAATAAATACAATTAAATAGTCATGCTACATTAGATCACTCTATAAGCCTAGAGCATCAGAAAACATACCCTAATTGGCATTTGCGACTCAGTATTTTCAGGAAAAGGCACGTCACCGTGGGCAACCCCACTGCTCTTCTCTGTGCAACCAAGCCCCTACTGTTTAAAAAAGCAGCAATCTTTGGGTGGTCAGATGGTCTTCTTCCATGGGATGCCAGTGGAGAGAAAAATGTTATATCGGAATGGAGACTCCATGTGGACTTCGGGATCTGATATAACTTTTTCACAAAGATTTTTATGTGGGTGAGTGTGAAATAGGGGGGGGTGGTACATTTGGCAACATGTATTCTTTTTAATTTCAGTCAGGTGTCATAAAGAATAC